GGCCATTGGGAGCGTACTTCTAGTGGACAGAAAGAACTGGCAATCTGGACTGGGGGGAAATGAGGTAAGGGGAGGGAAAGATGGGGCTGACAGGAGGGAGGGGTACCTGAGGGAAGCAGCGGGTGAGTGAGGGGAGAGAGGAGAGGAAGGAGGAGAAAGAGACTAGGGTGGGGAGATTGATTTGTACAACAACCAAAGAACCAATAAAATTGAAGAAACAAAATTGGGCAACCTCCTAGAATTAGGCTAAGAGGAGGTGCTGAGGTAGACATTAACTAGAACATTGATGAATTAAAAAACACTATTCTGTGATACAAAGCAATTGGACTGGCACTTGTGCTCTCACAACATCAGACAAGCAAAAAAAAAAAAAAAAGAGAGAGAGAGAGAGAGAAAGAGAGAAAGAAAAGAAAAAGAAAATAACACCCAAACCAAAAGGCTTAGTTTTGCTTGGTCCAGCAGGGCCACAGGGCCCTCAGTGCTATAACTTACATACACACACACATATATATATATATATTTATCTTTTTATATATAGGGTGATGGCATGGTGCATCATGACGGTTCTTCACCTCACAAGGATTCATGCATAACACTATGTGAACAAATACTATGATACATGTGGGGAGGAGGGGACCCTGTCTGCAAAGTGGGCCACCCAGGAGCCGAGGACTCAGAGCTGCTGGTAGGCAGGCTTGCTGGGGCTTTTACTCCTTTCTCCTCACCCTTTCCCCTGATCGTATCTATTCTCTTTGTCCTACACCCTTCTTTTGGGCATCTCTTTCCCCCCTCCACCCATTAGTTCTGCTGTCAGTCCTCCTCCTGGCATCTCCAGGTAAGTGCAGCCACAGGAGCCAAGCGGGAGCTCCAGGAGAGGAGGAGACTGGATGGAAAGGGGTGACAAACAAGCAGAAGGAAAAATAAACCAACAGAACCCCAGCTCTTTATGCATCTGTCTTACACATAAATGTCCCCAGTGGCCACCATAGTCTGGCTTGCCAGGGGATCGGCCAAAAGTCTACCCACTCTACTCCCCCACCCCCCATGGCCCAAGACCAAAAGTGCTTCCTGCTTGCTCTCCTCTAAGAAGGGACCCTGGCCCTCTCATCCTGGTCGCACCCATTGCATCTGGAAGCGTACCATACACTTGTAAAAACTTGCAGCAGTTTTTTTTTTTTTTTTCTCAACTTGAAAAAAACTGTTCAGGCACAAAGATTTAAATAAGCCTGTGTGGCATCCCTGGATTGTACGAATCACTGGGTTCCCCCAGTCTTCTGACCCACCCTTGTACCCCAGATCTGCCTTCCTCTTCTTCATGTAAAGCAGCTGAGCAGCAATGACGTTTTTCTATTTTATATCTCTTGCTATATCTCTCTTTCTATATATGTATATATATATATATATATTTGTCTATCCCATATACACATAGGATTTTAATGCTTCAAATGAGCAAAGGAGTGAGGAGGGAAGGAGCACTGAGGGAAGGATCAATGTCACCAAAAGCATTAAGGGTTTCATTCGTAGATGCTGGGCCAGGGGTGGGACCAGTAAGCAGCTTGGATTTACTAGGCGGGATAAGGCAGCAGCAAGTCGGGGTTCTGTAAGAGCATGGCTAAAGGCAGAGGAGTGACAAACCAGAAGGCTCAAAGAGTGGAATAAATACAGTTCGAGCTTCCCTGGGAAGGAAGGTGTCTCCACTCTTCTAGTGTCCCCAACTCTAGATGCTCCAGAGGCTTCCCAACAGCCCCCTACCTACCCGTTGGCCATCAAACCCAGTAGAAAAGGCCCTGGCAACTTTAAAACCATTTCCTCCTTGTGAGTGGGAAGCTGGGGGAGAGGCCTGTTGGAGCATCTTGGGGTCTGGGCTGCAAGGGAAACAAGGTGTCTCTTCTAAGCTGTCCCCACCTCTGCTAGAATCCCCAGAGCCCTCAGGGACAGACAGAGCAGGTAGGTGCTGAGTGAGTACCAGCCAACACTGAGACAGCAGCACAGACAACACAGTATGACTTCACTTCCAGCCACACACACATACACTGGACACAACACAAGCACACACACACACACACACACACACACACACACGCACGCACGCACGCACACAGACTGGACACAACACAAGCACAATCACTTATGCACAGGCGCACATACGTACAAAGTGATATTTTGCTGTTGATGGTGGTGAATTTTTTTTTTTTTTACTTTTTCTCTTTTTAAATCTCTTTTTTCCCTATTCACATTACAAAAGGAAAGAGCAAGGTCCTGCAGAACTGAAGAAGGAACTAACAAATACTACAAAAATATTACAATTTGCAAAGATCTGCTCAGCCCTCTCACACTTTTATGATTGGGCATGGGTGGGGGACAGGACAGGAGGGCAAGCTGAGTGGGAAGGGCTGGAAAGCAAGGGACCAGCCAGTTCTATGGAATATTTGGATATTTTCCCCTTCACCACCCATTTTGAATAACATCTTACTGCTAGAAATACTGTCTTCTGTGATTTACAGAGCCCCTGGAGGTCAGCAGTTCCCACTTTACCCCTCCCCCTGAACTGGGGGAGGAAGCCATAGTGCATAATGATTTTTAAAGACAGCTCTTCCCTAAAAAGATTCTCTTTTCACATTATAAACACGACAACTGTTCTGGCAACCTATTTCAAGTTTAAATTTTTTACCTTCCCAATGCACTAAGTCATCACTAACTATAGTTCCAAAAAAACGCCCTCTGTACCTTACCATTTCGAGTTCACACTGGAGAGGCAAGCACCCCCAAGTACATCCTCCCAACACACAATTTTTAAGGCCTTCAGATATGGTGGGTGAGATCGAAGGGAAAGATGGGAGGGATGGGGTCTTGGCCGAGGGACAGGAGGAGTGGTTACAGCAGCACCCATCCTTCGGACTTTCTGTTATTCTTCACAGCCCTTCGCCACTGCCAACAGCTTCCCTAAACCACTCTTTAAAACCTAAGATCAAAACACAGCTCAGAGAAAAAAAGAGGAGGAGGAAAACAGCAATTACCTTATACATAAAGCACGAAATGAAGGGAGGGCTCATCCCAAAGCACAAGGGATTACTGCAAATGTGCTTTCCAAAATTCAGGGTGGGGAGGCTGGAGGGTGGGAGGAGGCAGAACTGCAGAAGGAACGAAAGACTGGACAAACAGAAGAGGTAGCTTTTAGAAAAACAATGCCTCACCCAGCACAACAAAATCAGGTTGGTCAGCCCCTCACATGCATACCAGCCGTGAAAATATGACCAATTTTGGCAGTGGTAACAGCACAAGGGGAACATGTGGTTGTACAGATCTTAATATCAGCCCTCCCGCTCAAGCCTGAACAGCCCAGATAATTCTATGACCAGTGGGACTTTTCTCTAGAGTATCTCAGGCTAAACTAAGGTGGGCACTGATGGTCTGAGCCCTGGATGGTGCTAAGAGTGACACTATAGGGACAGTGAGAACCCATTCAATCGTCATTCCCTCCATTCCCACCACCTCCTCAGCATTCCTGGCCTTCCATTCAGATCCTGAGTGGTCCACTTTTTCTAACAGCTTCCAGCCAGAGAAGGGGGCCGGCGGGGGGGGGGGATGTCTACCAGGTCAGATTCAAAGCCAGCTATTAACTTATGCTAGGACAGAAAAGTACACCCTCCCCATTCCTCCAATTAACCCCCCCCCCCAACCAAAGGGTAAAAAGAGATAGGGGATTGAAAAGCTCATGAGGTCACAAAAAAATAAAAACTGAGGTAATTCAAGTACAATGTGCTAAAAGCAAACGTAACAAGAGGCCAAAGCGCCATCAGCTCCTCCTCCCTGCTCCCTGGGGGCTGAGAGGACCCGAGCCAGGAATTCAGTGCTAATCTCCAGATCTGGGGTTAAAGGATCCTCAGTGTGATAGCAACTTTCCCGGTGGCTAGCCCTCCCACCCTGCTAAGGCAGGGCATCCATTCCCACCTGCAGGTAAAGCTCACCTGCAGGAGGGCATCCACTCCTTCTCTTGGACAATGGGACCTTTCAATAGGATGATGGCATTCCTTCCTCTAGGGGCTGAAGTGGAGCTACAGCTATGTGTGCTTGTTTGGATGGAATATATGTTTAGTTGGTTTTTGTTTTGTTTTCTTTCCTTTTTGCAAGCAGAAAGCAGACCAGCGGGAATCTTGCTCATGAGGGGGTTTGGCTAGGGTACAGTGCAGGCTTTATTTTGTTCTGTGTTCTCTGAAAGCTGAAGGAAGGAAGGAAGGAAGGAAGGAAGGAAGGAAGGAAGGAAGGAAGGAAGGAAGGAAGGAAGGAAGGAAGGAGTTTTGTAATCTGACACAGCTTTTCCCAGGAGGGACCTAAGGAAGATACAGCCCAGATCCACATAGGGTGTGAGCCCTTTGTGACCAGAGGACAGCCATCAAGAAGGTGCAAGGGTGAGAAGAGCCATAAAGCTCTGGGAGACCATGAGGGGCACCAGGTGTGGCTGGGCATAGCAGAAAGCCGTTTTCATCCCAGTCTGTCCCCAGTATGCCAGAGCTGCCACTCGAGCCAGTGTCAATCAGAGACACTACTCCTCACTGCCTCCAGCTGCCCTCTCTGCTCCCCTCCCACCCTCTTCAGAGGAGGGGAAGCAAGGAGTGAGGGCAGAGACAGTGGCTCTGACGAGAGGATCCCACACTTGCTTCTTCCTGGTCTCCATTTCTGAACACAAAAGGAAGGTCTAGGTTGTGGAGAAGAGAAAAATATGCCACTGTGTAAATGAGCAAAACCACCCCACCCACCCAAGAGAACCAAGGAGGGCAGAGACCCCAGGGAAGGGGCAGCGGTATGACAGCCAGATCACCTGGAACCTCAGAAGGAATCCAAGGCCAAGTAACTACCAAGTTTCCTTCTCCTTCTCTCTCTCTTTCTTTTCTATTCCCCTTTTCTTTTCTCCGCAAGTCTTTCCACTTTATCTCACTCTAGCTCGTCTTTGCAGGCTCCCGTTGCTGCTCTACCGTATGTGTATGCATGTGGCCCCCCCTTCACACATAACACAGGTAGAGGTATGTCTTCTCTATCCTCCAATCAGGTGGGATCTCCTCTGGCTTGTGGCCCTTCATGTGCTTCTGCATGGAGGAGAGGCTGGGGCAGTACTCCGTGCAGATGGTGCACTGGTAGGGAGAGGCGCCATTGTGTGTTCTCAGGTGCTTGATCATGGCTGAGTAGTCTCGGGAGCGCTGGTGGCAGAGTTTGCACTCGAAGGGCTTCTCACCTATGGAGGAGACAAGATAGGACAGGGAAATGTGAGGACCACTTGAGCTTGTTGGAGAATGTCTATCCTTCTAGCCTTGCAGTCTCCAACAGAACTTCCCAATACAACGGCTGGACCATCCAATATGGCAATAATTGATCACACAGGGCTGTAGGGTATGGCTATTGGGGTACTGCACTTCTATTTCATTTTGTGGCTATTTCGAATAAGCTAATGTGGCCAGTCACTGGTAGTTAGTAACTGCCCATGGAGCTTCGACCCTTGTCATACTATCTTAAGGCAGGGAGCTTCCCTTCTAATTAAGGAAACATGTATTGTGAAAAGAGGTAGTGGGTCTCTGAAGTCCTTCAGGATGCTTGGTCATAACAAAGCTCTTCCATAAGAAACAGGAGGATGGGTGGAGTCCTTTTAGAGTTACAGATGGTAAGGAGGGGTAGGGGAAATCCAAGGAATCCCATCCTTCAAACACATCACATCTGGGGCCATCTACACACTAACTCTCTAAGGACCTCCCCAGACTTTACCTCTCATTCTAGGGCTTGTGCAGAGGGGTGGTACAGGGAACCTAGGAGAGCACAATGACACCTTAGTCTTCAATCTAGACTATCCCTTCCACCAGAGTCCCCTGGAGCTGAGCAGAGATGTAAGGGAACCTTGTTTCAATACAGTAATTAACTGGTCAGCCATCTAGCTATCAATACTCCTCCGTGCCGAGGCCCCGGCAAATAATGAAGTAATGAACAGCCAAAGTGATCTAACTATCGACCAGCTATTTACAATAGTCATCGCCAATGCATTTAATGATCTGCCCACTAGGTCACATCCCACAACAAGAGACTGAGGAAACCCCAGAACTCTGGGATATCCCTTGGGCTACTTGTGTTGTCAGCAATGAATACCCCATCCCTTCCTGTGGCTTTAAGCCAGAGGCAAGAAAAACAGAGTGCAGGCAAGAAGAATGAGTTCTGAGAACAACTCTGCCTTCCACTCCTGCTGGTTACTTGCCCCTCCCCAGGCTATTCCCTCCCTTAAGCCAACTGAGGTCACCATGCCCTCCTTTGGACTGGGTGCTGTCCCTACTAGTCAGAAAGGGCATCTTCCTTTGCTCTGTTTCACCCTCAGCCTCACAGAAAATGCTACCTCCCCGCAGCTGGTGGACTGCAGGGGGTGGGTATTTAACAGCCAGCTCTCCAAAGACACATAGCTCTATTGCTATGCGGTCAATATTCCCACTGGGGCCCATTTTAAGCAACCAAGATGATGTCATTGAACTTGAAATGGGGAAGAAATAGAACAGGTTTTTCAGTTAAGTAGAGGCCAGCTCTAGGCTCTATTGCCTCTGATTCTAAACCCTTTCTACCTGTCTGTCCTGAGACCCCAGCAAAAGCAGAGACTCACATTTCCTCTGTGTAAAAAGGAATGTGGAAGCACTCGGACATGATGGAACAGTCTCCTATTAAATACATTGGCTCCTTTCTTTTCAGAACAGACCAGAACCAATACCACAATTTCCTGACCCTTATCATAACTTAATGCCCTCTGATTCTGCCTCCAACCATGAATGGAACAAAATGAAACCACTCAAACTTCACTTTTCACTAATCTGGCCAACTTAACCTTAATTCAGGATTTGGAATAAGGACCATATTGCCAATAGCACTCGTGGATGATTTTGTTGTTGTTGTTGTTGTGATTGCTTCAGGGGACTGACTGGGCCCATGAGACGTGCTGCAATTGGTTACCAATATCTGCCACACCTGATTAGTGACAATGTCGTTGGCCTTGAGAGAAGGATCATGGTACTCAGACCACCATACTCTCTCTCTCTCTCTCTCTCTCTCTCTCTCTCTCTCTCTCTCTCTCTAGTGTGTGTGTGTGTGTGTGTGTGTGTGTGTGTGTGTGTTGCCTTCTGAGGCCTGAAGAGGGTGCTAGGAAACAAATTCTGATACCCTGGAAGAACAGGAAGCACTCTCACACCATCGAGCCATCCCTCCATATTATCCCTTTTTTTCTCTGGTTGAACTTTGAACTGTGTTTACTTGGGCTTCTGCTTTGGACCACCTGCTCCCAGTCACCACCCAAGTCCCAGAGCCAGCCTGGGGCCCATCCCTGCCCTGGGTACCTGTGTGAACCCTGTAGTGCGTTTCCAGCTGGTGCTTGAGGCTGAATTTCTTGCCGCAGCCATTGCACTCATAGGGTTTCTCCCCTGTGTGGATGCGCTTGTGGTTCTTGAGCGTGCTCTCATCCCGGAAGCAGCTGCCACAGAACTCACACTCATACGGGTGGTCACCTGTAAGGACAAGGGGTTCAATCAGACCCTTGCTTCCTCCTGCCTCTGTTTCAGGGACAGCAGGGCACATTCGGTGTCCTCAGATTGCCTATGCTCACCACCTTCAAAGGTGACCTGACTGGTCCCCACAACATGAACAGAGGTTCCTGTGTTTTTACCCAGATTTCACTATAGCCCTAAAGCCATCCATGGGATAACAGCCAGTCCCAGAAGAGAAAGCCTGCTTGGCTCAGCAAAGAGCAGCAACCATCAGGAAGCAGGGTCTTGTGAGGGTGGAACAGAGCTGGGCTTTGAGACCTCGTCTTACACTACCTCCTCTCCCTTTCCCTCTGGTTTGGGGCCAGGGGCCACTCCAGCCTAGCTTCCCCAAACTCAAAAATACCCCTCCGACTCAGGGAGCTTCTTTTTGCTTCCCAAATGTCATCTGCTCTTTCTGCTACTTCACCAGTTAACTGACAATCCCTCTGTTTCATTCCCACTTCTTTCCCTGGTGAACCCCTAGCCATCCTTCAAAGCCCGGCTCATCTACCACCTCCATTTGGATGCTTCCCTTTGGTTCCTCAGGCAGACTAAGCTATATTTCCTTCTCTGTCCCCAAAGAGAAGAATATTGAACACTTTGGGTCTTTTACTCATAGAAATACGTTTAAAAGAATTCTTTCCCGTTGACATTGCCCATATTTGGCATATTCTTACTGCTAGCTGAAGACTTCACAGAGATCATGTCCATGGAAACTCTCTGATGAAAGGTGTGCTTATTTTACAAATGGGGCAGGGGAGTTGCTTAGAGATACTTAGCCACTGTCCCAAGGTCACCTAGCTAGAAGTAGATAGATTGGAACTTTGGCTCTGGTCTGGCCCCAGGGTCTGGACACTGGTCACTTACCACATGGCTAAGTGACACATTGTATTGTATTGACTAACAGGGCCACCTAGAAGTGTTTCCCCCCCCCCTCAGTGCTTGCCCAGGAATGACTCAGAACCAACTCTTGGAGAATTCTGGGTACTGGACTGTGAGACCAGCCCTTCCTCAGCCTAGAATCATGTCCATTAGTTTAATTTTCTCCCCTGGACACTCCACCCTTCCATCCCTGTGGCCCAAGGGGGTAGGGAGTGGGGTTAACCACCTTGCATTTCTGTAACGGAGGTGTCGAGCTTAGGGGATGAAAGGTGAGGACTTGAGCTACTTATTCATTACAGGAGTGAAGGCGCAGACAATAAAGATAGATTGATCACCCCAGACTTTGTTCATGAATATTTAAATATCGCTGATTCGTCTTGTCACTGTAATTACAATTTCTCTGGGCTGCATCTCCAACAACCACAGTTTATGGTAAAGAATGGCCCACTGTATTTCACTTGTTCCTCTGCAGATGTGCGAGGCTGCCAACCGTGTAATGTCCTCCGCATTTCATACATTCTCTTCAGCTGCTGAAGGCTTAAGTCATCCACAATGACCTACGTTTTTTCATTATCCCCATGTCAAACTGTGCTCGTGCCTCGGCATAAATTGTCCTTCTCCTTATAGACTCGTAGGCCTGTGCCTTCACTTCCTCTTTAAAATGATATTTTACTCTCTCTGCCGTCTCCTTTCCGTGGGCCGCTAACCAAACATCCCTCTTCCTGAATGCAGGCCCCTGAACCCACATAAATTCTCACCTCCTCCGATGGCTTGGAACGGTTTCTGAGACTCTGTGGGGAGTGGTTGTTGGGTGGTCTGTTCACTGGCCAACAAAAAGCACCGAGGGCAAAAGGGGTGGGTGGGGCACCATTAAAGAAACCAAAGAACCATCCCTTCTATCCAGTCCTCACCATCTTTGGGGCACTGTCCCGGGTCAGAAGCTTCGCTGACCAGTGAGCTGGAGATGGACTGAGTCCTGGAGTTCTGAACTGGGGAAACCAACCCTTGTCTCTCACTACTAGCACTATACCGAGGACCTGTTCCCAGCCCCATCAAAGCCAAGAGGCTAGCCCTCACTGACACAGGTGCTACTCTACTGTGGGTCTATCATAGTAGAGCGGGGGCAGTCTGTGTATAAGACTCTCTGTCTGCACACGTGGCCCCGTCTGGTCTGACATCTAGCTCCCCCTCCTTCCTGAATCGGCAACGATTACGACTTTAATCAAAGATTCAGTATCCTCATTAAGATATAAATAAATAAATAAAGCAAGGGCCACATGAGACTTCAGCCGAAGCTGGTAATTAAAACGTACATCGGCAGTCACCCAGCCCCCTCTCCCCCTGCCCAGGAAGAAGGGGCTGCCATGAGGGAGGGCTGGCTGCCTGTGTGTGCCTCTTGCTTCCAGAGGAGGGCCCTAAGAGTTTAACAAACAGCAGAGGGGTTTGTTTGACCAGATTTTTATGAATTTAATTACGAACTGGATCACATGTTAAATGAGTTTAAATAGGAACTCTCTTGAGTCTGCCCTGGGAAAGAATAAAACACATTCAGAAAATGAAAGAAAGAAAGAAAAAAAGACAAGTCATCAAGACTCATACCCACCCTCACCTCCCACCCAGGTTTTACAGCTCAATGGTTACCAGACCTACAACCCTCACCCTGAGAGCTAATCATGTCAGGCTGGCCATAATGTACATAAAACTGGCGACAGAAGTCAAAATCCAATTTGTGGTATGTTGATTAACTCTGTAGACGCGTTAATGAGCTTGACATTAAGTGCAGGACAAACGAGACTAATTAGAGCCCCTCTGGCCTACCCAAGGCACCTGTGACCCTTCTTCTTCCCCAGTTTGTCATTACATAGTGGCTTTCTTACCTCTGGCCAAGCCCAGTGTCATCCTTCCCACCCTAGTCCCAGCCCCTGGGCTCCTTGGATCCCTTTCTCTTGGTCCCTCCCTTCAGTGCAGCTGAGAGTTTATTATATGATGAGCCATGTGAATCAAGGATCCATCAATGCCAAGAGCATGGCTGGACTAACGTACCAAACACAGCTGCTGATGCTAAACACCGGCCCCAGCAGCAAATGGGCCAAGAACAACAGAATATTAATGAGGCATTGTGTCGGGGGTGTGCAGAGCCTGTGCTGGGCTGGTGTGAAAATCAATGGGTGCTTGAATGTGTGAGCGCAAGGGGCACACATGTCTGTGTTTCTAGAATAAGCAAGGGTTTCTCCCTAACTCTGTCCTTGCTGGGGATCTGAAGCATAGCTGACGCAGGGGTAGGGCAGGAATGACATGGGCTAACTGAACTCTGAGAAGTTGGTATGGGCAAAATAAGTTGCATGTTGGGTGGACTCAGTAGGGCCTGGATCATCACATCTTGTGAAGTCAAGTGACTTGACCCAGTGGCATACCTGGAAGTGGCTAAAGGAGGCTTGCCATCTTCCCTAAGACTGAACTTAGGGACCTGCTGAGGGAGAGAGACATTGATGGGATGGTGTCTACATCTTACAGGGAGATTCGTATACAGATACTGTAGAGAAACTCATCGAGCGTATACTCCTTTCTCTTTGGTTCCTTTTGCTGGACCTTACCAGCTAAGACCTCCTCCTTTCTACTGATTAGCCTGAGGCAGTCCTAAGCATCTTGTGGGCCATTCACATTTGGTAATGGTATGGCACTGTGCTCCTCTAACCAGGATGCTATCCAGAACCTAGAGCCAAGGCAGGCTCCTTGGTGAGAATGCCTACAACTGGCAAGGTAGTCCAGCTCAGCCCCTGAGAGTAAAACTTACTCATCAGAGCCTGTCACCCATGTGAGGACCAGCCACACGCTCTACCCGAGCTATGAAAAGGCTCTGAAGAATGAGATTCTTCCAACCATCCGTGAAGCATGCAGGGAATTCATGTCCTCTCTAGTAGACCTGTGTATGTACTCTGCTACATTCTTTCACAGAGATTTAATCCCAGATCTCCCAAAAAACAGATCAGGAACATACACACACAGACACATATGATTCAGAAAGTGCCATTCTTTCACCCCGGGACAGTAAGAGATGATCTCATTTTACTTTAGGGCAAAGAAAGGAATTAAGTCATCTATTCCTCTGTTAGGAAAAGACCAAAGGTTCCTTCAAGGCCTTCTGACACTGGATGTCCTATTCCCTAAAGCTAGAGGGTAGTGGCAGGGATAGGCTAGGACTGGGCAACTAGCCCTGCCTACTTGACTCACACATACCCTGTCTTTCACCCCATTGTGTGAACTGGCTGAACAGGGCTATCTCTTGGCTTGTTGTTCAAATACTCTCATTGTCTTCTCTAGACAACATTAAGGCCAAAGTAGAGGCCCCCTGTCTCTGTTGTGAAGGCAGGATGAGTTCTTCAGTGTGCCTTCTGGTGCCCTGAGCTGACTTCAGTGCTATTCTTGGATGGATTGAGGAAGTGGTGGGACTGTAATAGAGTTAGGCCAGTTTTCTCAAAATGCACTCTGGTACCCACTGCATCAGAATCCCTTGGGAACACTTATTAGTGGTGTTGGGATCTAGAGCCCATCCTGGACCGCTAAATCACAGTTTCTGAGAGTAGAAATCAAGAGTATGGTAGTTGTTTTTGTTTTTTGTTTTTTTAATGAATATTTTCTGTGCTGTGTGTGGAAAGCCGGGAACAGACAGACTGTCTACAGGTGCGGGGGTGAGTTGGGAGAACTGTTAACATTTCAATCTCTATGGGAGCCCTTCTGTGTCCAACTTCAAGTAGAGAAAGGCTATAAATGTCTCAACCTGGAACACGCCCCTTCCTCCCCCATGCCATTTTGGAAGTTAAACCCAGATATAACAGATATAAGGTCTAGAAATGGCACCTCCCCACCCCCACCCCCCC